TTACAAGTCAGAATTGACTCAACAGCAAAGGGTAAGGAGAAGACAAAAATGAACTCAACCTGATTCCTTTCCTCAGAGACTTCACTTAAGGTATAGTTGTGTTTGTGTGTTTGTTTTTTAAGTTTTTATTGTGAATTGAGTGATAGTTTACATGGGAAAACATCAGTTTTACATTCATTGCTTCCTTGTAATGATACAGTCTCCGTGCATCATTATTCAACAGTATTTGCTTCTATTCCCTCTGGGGTTTTTTGGGGGGTTTTTTTTGGATGTACACAGAAACAGGAATATATCATTGAAACAACCAAAGGGCACATTCTGCAAGCCTGCCTCCTGGCCGCCAACACAGCCTTTCTCTTTCCATGAATCTGGGGTCTTCAGCTGCTCTCTCTCTCTCTCCATGTCCTCATCTCTGCCTCCATCTCTGGTGTCACTTTAAAGGAAGGTTGCTGATGAATGAGGTAGAAGTGACTTTGAGGGGCTGGTAAGGGGCTGCTATTTCCCATTTTCCAGCACTGCCAGTGGAAATGACAATATAAATACAATAATATTTTGAGCATTAGAATTTTTACCAGCACCTGCTCATAGACAGTAAGGTCTTTACTATAAATACAAAAAGAAAAAGTGCATTCGTTGAACTACTGCATGCCAATAACCTCATGTGCGTGTGAAAGTTGGACAATGACTAAAGAAGCCTATAGAAGAATTGATTGTGTAAGTTACAATGCTGGAGGAGAATATTAAAAGTACCATGGACTGACAAAAGAACAAACAAATCTGTGGGGTGTTATAAGTAGTACAGCCAGAATGCTCCGTAGAAGTTAGGAAGGCCAGACTTTGTCTCTCATACTTTAGCCATATTATCAGGAGGGACCAGTTCCTTGAGAAGGACATCATGCTTGGTAAAGTGGAGGGGCAGCGAAAAAGGGAAGACCCCCAGTGAGATGGATTGGCACAGTGGTGGCAGCAATGGGCCAAATGTAGCAAGAATTGTGAGGTTGGCCCAGGACCAGGCAGTATTTTGTTCTGATGTATATAAGGTTGTTATGAGTCGGTATTGACTTGACGGCACCTAACAACAAGACTGTATGACAGGAGTTCTGGTGTGCACTGAACATCTAGGCTAAGCACTGACTACTAACCACAAGGTAATTTGTTCAAATGTCCCAGCCACTCCTATAAACCGTATATGGGGTGGTCATAAGAGTGGAACCCAATATAACAGCACTTAACAAAAACTATGTGCTGGGCACTGTTTTAGGTGCTTTGCATCTATCATCTATTTTAACAGGTGAAATCACAAAACCGAAGTACACTTCTGTTTTATTCATCTAAATTGTATTGTGTCTTGATTCACCTTTATATTTCAGGGCTTGACTTAAAATCAGCTCTCAAAGAATGACCAAGAAATCTTGGGTAACTAGAAGCTCGTGTTTAAAGCAAGGGGAAGCATGCATCTAGGTTGCAAGGTCGATTATGAAATGTTAATTACGTTTCTGTAGCTAACTAGGAGTTAGTATCACTTTACCTGTCAGGTACAACAACCGCCCAGGATTACTATCTGAAACACTGAAACTCAAAGGGAGGGCAGTATTCACACTTGGTACATGGCATGAGTGGATTCTGGCTCACAGTGACTATAGGATAGAGTAGAACTTCTCCATGGGGCATAGAAGTAGACCGCCATGTTTTTCACTCCTCCAAAGATTAGCCTCGGAAACCCTGTACAGGGTCGCTATGAGTCGGAACCGACTCCACAGTACATAACCACCACCACCATAGATTAGCAGGTAAGTGCCACCAGGTCTCCTCCACTCTTCTTTTTCTTGTTAAAGTGCTGTCCAGTTGGTTCGATTCGTAGTGAACTTATATAGGGTTTTAGAGAAGCGGTTGATGGGCTTGAACTATCGAGTAGTCCAGTACTTATCTTACAGTGCCATACCAGGACTCCACTCTTCTTTATCCTAATTGGTCCTCTGACCCAGCTAAGATGAAGGAAGTGAAGCTGAGACGTGTAAGGCCAATCAGCCGGAGTCAGGGAACGAACTAGCCAATCAGGGGGCCTAGGGGCGGGGCAGCTGTCTCAGTACAGTGGGTGCCTACCTGCGAAGTCCTCACCGTCCCGGTCTGAGAACTAGGTCGTGCTGGAGTGCGTCTGCGGGGACAAGAATTAGGTCCTGCGGGAGTGCGTCTTCCCGGAGGAGGGTGAGAGATGGAGGGAGTGCATCGTGTGTGGGACGGGCATCCTTCCGGGTCGGGGAAACACTCTGGAGGTCTTCTACCATGTGGGGAGGCTGGCGGATGTTGGGAAGGACTCCGTTGTCTCAGAGTGCCTATACTGTTCTGGTATCCAAAGCTATGGGGTGAGGTGTGATTTCTGAAGAAGTACTTTAAAGGTGCCTCCTGGCCGTTGCGGGTTGTTTGTAACAGAGCTCCGAGAGCCTGGCAGCGATCCCAGGGCTCTTACCGGCTGCGTTGTACATAGAAACCGTTGCTACGGCTTCAGGGTGCCGTTTCCTTTCGGTCTCCAGCGGCAGGGGGCGCTCAGCCTTGTGGACTTTGGAAAGAACTTGCATTGGGAGATGCTTGGGTTTTGTGTAACTAGCGAATTCTCTTGTGGCATTGTAGGATAATGCACTACACAGCAAGGTCGGTGGTTCAAACTCACTAGCCACTCCTCGGAAACCCTATGACAGGGTTGCTATGAGTTGGAACCGACTCGATGGCACTTAACAACAGCAACAACAAAGCAAATCCATAGCAGTTTGCATTGGAGGCTTTATTGATAAATTAGAATATATGAGAGGTGGATGTGGCTCAGCATGATAGGAAGTTAAATTCAGCTATATTCATAATATGGAAATTTTGCCTAATCAGAGACAACTTACAGATGTGGAAGAGTTTTAACGAGAGCAAATAAATTGTATAACTTGAGAATTCACATTTGTAGTCTTCAAAATGTGTGTTCTACTAAAATTTGGGAAATTTTCAAAAACTCCTCAAAGATGTTGTTACAACAGTGCCCCCAAATGATATTAGATTATGTCTTAAAACAACCCTCTAGTATAAATTTTCTGTTATAACTATATTTTATTCAAATCATAAAATAGCAGGGTTGCAAGATGCCTTCAAGTCTATGTAATCTATTTAAATCCCACTAAATGCTAAATCTCTCTCATCAAAAATCCTCCAGCCTCGTTGGACAAATTCTCCAAAGCCACCCATCTTATTCTGGGCAGCACTAATAATTAAAGCGTTCATTTTGCTGTCCTGTACTTCTATCTGTTCAGCTCTCCTAATGATGAGAGACAGTCATCATGGTGGGCCCTGCAGGGGTGATAAAAAAGCCACAGTCTAATTTCTCAGCTGGGTCTCATTCGAAAGCTTAAGTGTCATCTCTAGTCTGTACTCAAGTCCAAGGTCGCATCTATATGGAGCAGAAACGAGAGAGCTTCCTATTTTTCTGCAGAGGGAGGTCTTGAGATATATCCAGACTCTTAATGGGCAGTCTTGCTGAAGGAAAAAATTCCTGGTGAATTAGACCTGCTGCCAGTTTTTCTTCTTTGTTTTTAAAACTGTTACCCAATATGGTTTGATATCAAGTGCTGTTGAGTTGGTTCTGACTCATACGACCCTATCCAAGGTTTCCAAGGAGTGATTAGTAGATTTGAATCACCCATCTCGTGGCTATTGGTCCAGGAACAGAGGACCCTAGGACCATCAAGAGAAAAGTGCATGAGCAGAACATGGTCCCCTAACCAGTGAAGCAGTGATACCAGAGACAGAGGTGGAGGTGATGGAAAGATAGAGCAGCTGAGAACTCTAGACTCATGGAAAGAGAAAGGCAGTGTGCTGGTGGGCAGGAGACCGGCTTGCAAAACGTGCTCTTTGGTTGTTTAAATGATTATATGTTCCTGCATGCTTTTGTGTACATAAAAAAGGAGTAGAGGCAAATAGCATTAACCAGTGTTGCATGGTAGGGATTGTAATCATTGCAATAAAACAAAACATGATTGGTTGAGTGCAAAATAAAAAAATTATTTAAAAATGAAATAGAATTTTTTAAAAATCACATTGCCTGGCACATAACGTTAAATACTGCTTTATAAAAACGTATCTATGTAAACCTATCTATGTAAACCTATATACATGTGTATAAATGCACATGGATACAAAGTAAATTATATTTCTAACATTTT